ATAGTATAATATATATTTTTAATACGATGTGGTTAATTTGTTACACCGCTTCTCTTCCTTGCAGGCACAATTATTCTCAACCCACTGGTGATTTTGCTGTGCTTGGCGCTGGCATACTCGAGTGCGCGCGGCACAATCACGAGCTCCTGGACCCGTCACCGTGTGGCGCCACTGCTCTACGTTCGTATGCTACTCTTCGTGCCCGAGATCGCATGGAGCATCATCGGAGTGTACTGGGCATTTGACGAGTCGATCGGCTGCGAGCGGCCTGTAGTGAAGATCATCAAGGCAACGGCCATCTCCAGTCTCTGCCTTGTGCTGATCTTCCTAGGTCGGCCATCTTTTCATTTTTCGTTTCCTAGATTTGAGTTTTGTTGTCATCACCTATCGCTTTTCGATGTGTGTAGTAGAGAAGTGTCTTGTTAATGTAAGCAAATGTGAAATAGCAAAAAATAATTACCTTGTTAATCTTTCCTTAGTTTGAACATGCAATTTTTTGCAATGTAGCAGGCAGTGAAGAAGCAGCTTGGTGGTTCTTGTAGCTCACTATACCTAATACTACAAAGACTTTACCACCAAGAAGTCTTCACTGAAAATTGCATTTTCGATCAGTGTACAGTTTTTGTGGTGCTACTGACTAAAAGCACTGCTCGCTACTAATATGCCAGCCGTGACCTGGCTCGTCTTGTGTTACAGTTGTAATGGCGATAATATTTGACCCTCTCGGGGCAATGTCCTTGAATCCACCCCGTCCAAGGTCACGCAGTTCAAGCTGTGTGAGCCAATCTAGTGAGCATCTGTATCGTCATGAGGCTGCAAAGGTCTGGGAAACGAGGTATGCAGGTTTACACAGTGATGCGATTATACAGTATTTACTCGTGTATAAGTTGCACTTTTTTGTACACAACTTCAATAAAAAAAAAACAGGGGTATACGACTTATACACGAGGCTAAGAAATCTTGTTCATGTACCAATGTTTATACCAATTTTTCAAGACAAAATTATGGGTGCGACTTATGCATGAATGTGTATTATACACGAGTAAATACGGTTCTCATCACCAGGTGTCACTACTGTGTATAGTGTATCATCAAGTTACCGGAGATTCTATTACTTTTTCATCATTAGTAATTGCTAGGGTTAGGGTTTAAAGTGAGGGTAAGGCTTAGCGTTAGGTATATATAATGCCTCTACGGTTGTACCTCCTTGCAAGATCTGATATTCAAACATTTGGCTGAGCTCAGAAGTTGATTATAGTGTACCAGGGAAATTGAGCACTCATAATCTTGCGGTCATAAACGCTCGCTAAAAGTTCTACATCACAATAACCGGCAACTATCTTGAGGTATTATCGGCATTTCGGTTGCAAAGGAACGCAGATTCTGCCTTTTACATATAAGATATAAGGTATATAACAGTTTTATTTATCGCTTTCAATATTAGTAAGTACGAGAATTTTAACAAAGTGAATAATAAACAATACAGAGAAGAGATGACGAAAAGACCATACGGTCATCTAGTCAGCCATCGCCTGCAAAAATGATAAAGTACGCGGGCAACTGTCATTGGAGTAGAAAAAATAATAAAGTAAACGTGTTCTAATAGAATATTCTTGCGTAATACTGTAAACATAATTTAGTATATGTGTACGTTATGAGAGTAACGGAACAAAGGGTTTGGAATAATACTAATATAAAGTTACAAAATTAACATTAACAAAATTATGTAATGCGTAATCCTGCACGTAATCTAACGACCCCTGTGACCTTGCGATTAACAGATGTCGTCTGCTCTGCTGCTGCGCTGGCAATGACGAGCACAGCAAAGCTGCATTCTCGGACATTGCGAAGTTGTTTGCGACGTTTTTTGAGGTAGGAGGTCTTGCTTTTACACCGGTGAATACTCGCTGATAATTTCACACTTCAGCAAGAACGCATGCAGTGAAAATATTTTCAAGCCAAGTGCAAATTGTAAACAATGTATTTATACTCCTCACTGAGACATGCCATGAATTATAGCAAGTTACTCCTAGTTTCTTGGCAACTACTTTTTTTAGGGAGACTATGTATTGAAGCTACTTTCCCCTGAAATCCACTATTTATCTACTCAAATTAGTGTCGGATGCAAACATTTCGTGCATATATATATTTTGATCAGTTAGATCCAACGCAAAATCTTCATTGTTTGAACCTTGCCTTCTGATGTTTACATTGAGAAAAACGGTCCGTGCTTTTATGCGGATCGAGTAACATTCACACAGTGGCGCTTATAGGGTCTATGTTCCCCAGGGTACTGCCGGAACGTACCTTGGGTACGGCCTGGTATACCGGAACGTACCCTGGTAACTATCTGATATGGTTAGGGGGTAGGCGTAGGCGACTCCCTAGACTCGTTAGTGGACTTGGCGAGGTACGGTCCGGCATATTAGATAGTACCAGGGTACGTTCTGGTATACCGGACCATACCCAGGGTACGTTCCGGCAGTACCCTGGGGGACATAGACCCTCTCAGCCACAGTGGCTCCGCGTGACTCGATATTTATGCGTATAAATCTGCACGTCGTTAGGGCATGTAATATAATACGTAATTAAGCTGAAATTTGTATAATTATGCTAATATCTATTAATGAGGATAAGTTTGAGTAAGCAGTAATTTTCGAGATTCCAGTTTATTGAGTTTGTAGCCGATATTAAATTGGCCGTGGCTACGCGTCCGGTTACCGGACGCCCAGCTCCCAGGCTATGCGTCCGGTCATATATTTCTTATGTGAACCCAACTATATTTTTTCAGTATAAAACAATAAACAATAAGTTTTTGCCATAATATTACTTACCTTTAGGTATTTTATTTTAAAAGTGTGTTTTTGTAACTTTTGAAGCAATAGTAAAATCCAGTAAAATCAACGATTTGAAAGGGGGTGTACGTGGTCTAATCATGACATTGATTTGGGAATCTGTGCTGAGCTTTGTAATGGATGACCGGACGCAAGACCTAAGCAAAAATTCATAAAAATCTCCTTTTCCATCCTTTCTTTGCTTTCATTTTAGGTTTAATTATAATTATTATAACACCAGCGGACAGTAAAAAGCAGGTAGACATTGAGCCTCTTCTTTAGAAATACCATTGCAATTACAGTGAAGCCATTGTTCACACTTGTCGCAGCATATCCAGTTGTCCGATTTGTTGTGACCATTGCATTGTGAGCACATTTCATTCGTATTAAATTGACTACGTCACGAATTTTCCATGGTGATATTTGTGAAAATTAAAAGTAAGTACTAACGGGAATAAATGTATCGTCAAATTCTTACCTGATAAGATTGTTTCTCAACTAGTTAAAAGTCCAAAAAATCTGGACGATTCGATATTATTATCCTGACAATAATTGCTTGCTATGGGCTATGTATGAGTCACGAGTGTATGTTTACATCGAACAATATAGTAAAATAGGAAGTATAATGCAGCAATTTAACCATAAAAAGTGAACAGAATTACTTATATTTTGTGAAAAAGTGGAAATATTTTTTTTTAGTTTTACTATTTACGGTGACGTAATCACTTTAAATATTTGCGCTGCAGGGTGTCGACCTCGTGCCGTCCGACATCGCTGCCGGCCTCGTCCTCCTGCAGATCCAGCAGGAGAAACAGAAGCGCTGGAACACGATCCAGGCGAAGAGAACCGCCGCCGCCGCCTCCCGCAGCGAGCCGAGCGTCCAGCGACCCCTGCGCGGCGACCCCGCACAGATCCAAGATGGCGGCACCGACGCCGGGCTCTCCGCGTCCACGTCCCCAGAGGGCGCCGCCGTCGCCGCTTCAGGGGTCGACGTGGGGCTCTCCGCGTCCACGTCCGCTGGTGCCGCACCAGAGGGCGCCGCCGTCGCCGCAGAGGGCGCTTCAGGGGTTGACGTGAGGCCGGGAGCGTCGACGGCGCCCAAGGAGTGGATGAACGTGCGAAACGCGACGCACTTTGTGAAGTTTGCGCTCGGAGTTTACGGATGGCCGCTGTACGCGTACATGCACCCCGTCATGGGATGGTTCCGGCTGTGGGGGAAAATCAGGTTGGTGCTCCTTCGTCGTCATGACTAATATTCATGACTATATTCATGTAATTTGCTTTGTGCGGGACATGACTGGTGGAATTTGCAATGGTTATTTATTTAGATGCTAGCCAATGTGAATAGCCAGTGTAGCGTTTGTGGTAATTGTTTTTTGAAAAGCTGAAATGTGAATATTCAGAGTACCACATGCATTTACCTAATTTGCTTCGGGCATGACATGGCTGGTAGAATTTAGCAATAGTTATTTATTTAGATGCTAGCATGTAGTAGGGTTTGTGGTAATTGTTTTTTGAAAAGCTGAAATGTGAATATTCAGAGTTTTAGTAATCAGTACATACTGTTTTTTTAGACCTGTCTGTGAGTTGGGGTTTAACGGAGGACATTTATTAACCAGTATCCCTTGCCACCATATCCTTGCTCAAAATTTCAGTCAAATTTCATCCCTCTTCCTCCTCGCCTCTCACCCTCTCACCTTCTCCCCCTCACCCCAT